AAAAAAAAAAAAAAAAAAAAAAAAAAAAATCACAAAACTATAAACGGTTAAAACGTCACGGGCGCATTTCGCCCACCGCCTAAACAGGGCTAGCCATTTACGAATGAAGCACCTCTTTTTTTCTGTTTTCCATGCTTTGCGTTCATTAAGTCTTTACGCAACACTTTGGAAGAGCACTTCAGTAGCGTACGTTAAAATTGCTTCTCCAGGTGTAGCCTAAGGCAATGTCTAGCGTACTTAATAAGCGCTTTAAGCCACGGACCATTCTTTCAAATTTACAACACATAGTCAGTGAAAATGGTGATATAAAGAGGTAGCAAAAAAAATAATAATAATAATTGTGTTTTTTCTAAGATTTTCCTTTCGTTTTTAAAAGTCAGTGTTATCTGCATTGTGCATTTGTCTTCCTGTATTTTGTCGTTGAGATCATTGATGCTCTAATATTGATGATCTCATATATTGGCCCCGTTTATAGCGAGGAAGGTTACCGCTGTTTTAAATCTCACAACAACACTGCCGAGCAGCAGAGGGAACCAGCGAGAAAAAAAAAAAAATTCAATAGATCATCAGATTACCTTCCGTACCTGTGTATATTCATTCAACTATCAGAGACTCACGCCCAAGTTTGTGAGAAGTCTCACTTTGATAATAACATGGTGTTCCCTATAGCTTTACATATATTTACCAATACATTTAGACCATATCTACATCTACCAAGATTGAATCGGGAAAATCTCAAGACAACACACTGACTGTAAAAACTGAACACACCAAATGAATCTAAGAAAAAATAACTCAAAAGATGTTGACGGATAGGATTTGTATGGATTTGAAAGAATCCAAGGAACTAGAGGTAGGTATCTCCTCGTGGAGGCAAATCCAGTCGACGATATAGTTCTTGGAAAATCCGAATCCTTAAAAACGTCCTTTATAGCATTTGGGGTTCTGAAATTACACTATAAACATATACATGTACGTGTAATCTTGTACCTTCTACATTCAAGGCTCGTTACTGGCTTTAGTCCATCGTTTCAATTTTCGTTCTGTCGAGCGCATTAAAATTCAAAGGCCACTCATCTCGCTCTACCCATGTTTGTCCATAAGTCATATGCCTAAATTTGAAATTTGGACAGTTTTTGATGCAAGGAGCAAAAGGTAGTATTTAGATATGTTCTGGATGGTTTGCGGTATTATTTCTGTACCTTTTTTGCCTTTCGATTTGTATCTGCAAGCCTTGTTTATACATTAGGTGGACATCATATACATTTGTACGTGCGTGACTCAGTGTCTAATTGTCTAACTGTTTCATTTCCCCATAAGTTGCTTCGAAAGAACCGTTTTTCCTTCAAGCAATTCAACAAATTGTTTCATTTTACCTTCAGTCATCTTTAACTGGCGGCTACTTATTACCATTATGAAGGCAGCAGGAAAATACGGATAAAATTCAAAAAAGAAACCCACCTTTTTGTCTTATTTTCACTTCAGCTTCCGTTTCAAAAGTATAATAGATATTCTTGGCTAGAATTTCCAGATTTTTCGATGAAAGCCTTTGCAATTGGGTTAGTGAAACCAATTGTTTCGCGCCTAATTTATTTTTGCCTTCGTTCGGTAGCAAGCCACTGACACACTGACATCAAATGACCCGATCCCCCGTAATGAGTTACTAAAAGTCCTGCCAAGAACCTTTTAGCGAAAAGCCTATGTTCGCAATAGAAAGCGAATAACAAATAAACAAATGGGATTTCCTTTTGCATAAAATTAAATACTTGAGCATTTTGTTCTGCAATTTAGAGCTCTCGAGCACTGAAAAGAGACAGGCTAAATACTCTCAGGTATATACGATTGTTATCGCACGTATTCAGAGGTCTACAACGATTAAAATTGAACTCGAGGCATGTTACTAGTGGTTCAGTATATTCAAATCGTCGGCTTTCTCTTTATGACTAAATATGGCTGTTGTTTGATTTCCACTGGAGAAAATTATATTGCAAGCTGATAAGTTTATATAATGTGGCGAGAAGAGAGAGAAACACGCCGCAAGAACAAAAAGAAAATTATAAATAAACATATTGAGCTATATCGCGTAGACAACGGTCTTCCTCCTCTCTTCCTCTTTCGTTCTTTCTTTCTTTCTTTTCTTTATCTTTGAATACAAATGCTATTAAAATTTTGTCCATTACCACAGAAAGGTTTCGTCGAAAACAGGGACAACTTACCTGGTTCGGTGATGGCAGAATAAGCTAATTCTCAGCTACAGATATCCTCACAGAATGTTGTTCAGCGGATGCAATCTTCTAATAAGAAAATCAAATCAGTCGTGCGTCAGCGTGAATTATCCGGTAGATATTGTTGAGAATTCACTGAAATTGCCCACGATGGCTCGTGACACCAAACCAAGCTTTATTTTCACAATAAGAATCTTTTTTAGCTTCATAGTGGAACCTTTGGTTTAATGCTTCTGCCATTTAAGATTATCTTTTCTTTTAATTTCAGTATTTTGTCTTGCATGGAACAATCTTGTCAGAAGCGTGTCCACAAATACCTACATTAGCTTTCTTTTGGCACAGTAGTGTTACGCAGATGTCGAGTTTGGAGTTCCTAATATTCCTTACCTGTGGCAGTAAACACTTGAGTGTCGTTCTTACATGTGAAAAGACTAGTTATAACCAGCGCCAGCCGACTACTGCGATCAATGCACTTTCAGACTCAAACTCGTTCAGACAAGACTCTTGGTGTACGCGTGGGTTGAAAGCTGTCGCAGACTGGGAGTGTTAACTTCAGCGCGGATATATATTTTGACTTGCCTTGTATAAATAGATCCGATATCCTGCAGAGTGGGTTCTTACTTTATGCAAATTCTTGAAGGTAGTTTCACCTGGATCTGTTCACCGTTTTCGCTAAAATTCTCTGAGAAAACTAAACCATGAGATAAACCTTGCAATCACTCAGCAATGCAATTTTGTTCGCGCATCCAACGCACTAAATTAAATCAGTTTGTTCTTGCTTTTCCATTTGTGACAAGAGGCTCGGGTATCAATTATATCAAAGAAACATTCAGATTTGGCCCATTACAGCAACTCTATGCTCATGGGTTCCTGACTGATAAGCATTTTAACTTTGACAAGCGGAATTATTGTTATCAAAGGTCCTCGATGCCTGTCTATGGTTTAAATAGCTTATTCCGGAATTGCTATAGATTCCAGATTCAAATTTGAAGCGAGAGCCTTACCTCAGACTAATTAATACGCAATTTTTCTTTTAAATCTTTAGTGACCGCAAAAAATTGCCATGTATTTACAGAAAACATCGAAAGATGGCTTTGAAATTAATTTCCTTCGCAAAGGCAAACAAATCGGTTCTTTGTCTAGCAACGGGTAATTTATCTATTTATTAATTTAGAAATTAGTTTTGTGCGTCTTATAGCAGCTGCGAACTAATTTAGTTTTCTTTGCGTAAGGAATCCAACTTTTGTATTTTGAAACTGAGTCAAAGCAATCTTGCCTCTCACTGTTCGGAAGCTGCAAAACGTTTCAGAGAATTATTTCAAAGACAATGACTAAACCACATCGATTGTAACCGATCAACTCAGTCACGATAATGAAGAAATTTTGTCAAGGAGGCCATTTCTAAACCCAATAGCTCAGTGGTCAGACGTAAGTCCAATTAACCATAGATAGGACGAACAATCGCGTTGGTGAAACTGTCGCTTTTTATAATGACGGTTCAACTTTTTCTTGATCATAGTGAGTTTCTGTTAATAAAGAATAGATTTTTTACGTCAATAGAAGAAAATTTAGCACATCCGGAGAGCTGTGGTGCGTCCCAGCGAACACCGAGGATTAGAAACGCTTTTTTTCCCTTTTTTTTTTAAATAAAACCGGTTCGTTTGGCATCAACTGGTAGTAATAATCTATGTCTGTAGACAATATTATGTTTTCGTATTTGTGATAAACTTAGATTGGCCGGCAAAATTAGCTTTTCGGCATTAGTTTAGGCTAAAAACCCATTACGACTTAAGTTGTGAACAAGTTGGAACCCATATTGGCTTAGAGTCGTGGTGAGAAGCTGTTTATAATTTATAAGCAATTTATTTTACCTGCAGAAAGGGTAATTCCTTTTGAACTCTATGAATGAATTACTATGCCCTTTTAAGGACTTTTTCCTCATGCTTTTCTCAATGTTTACATAAGTTGGAATCTTTTTCACAAAAATACCTCCAAGCACCGGCTCGCTGACGGAAAAACTGTTTCCATGTGACATCACGGCGGGCATTCACTACTCATTTATTGGGGAAAAAGTTTATAATTTGGTATATACACACAGCAAGTGATACGCATTGTTCCTACAAAGAAACCAAGACTGAAAGGGTGTGGAATAAAATCCTCTGCAAAGCCAAGTCGACGATCTGAAAATCAGCAGTGTAAGGTTCTATATCAAGACTGCATATATCGAGGAAGTTCTAACTCATCATCCAACCGACCGTTGCCTATATTCTTCTCGCTCTCGAGCATACACTATACACTATACAACATAAGCCTGATCTGCCAAATATTTTTTGTAAACTGAATCCTTTTGCCAGTATACATTGTCAAAGGGATTGCCTTTGGTGAACTAGAGTCGAGTAGTTTTCACGGCGGAAAAACTACAGCATCTTAACAGGAAAAAGTGTGGCTAAAACACCAGAAACTTACCTTATAATTTTACTTTTTGCCTTCCCTTTTCCCGTTGGTATCAACTTCAACTGTCCGTGAATCCACACCGAAGCGAAACCGTAAGTAAAACTGATTGCACTTTGACTAAAAATGAGCCGACACAAAAATCGGATTAGTGAAGATAAGGCTTGACTCAATTTTCATTACGAGCTTTGCTTTAAAGCCGAGTTAAATAGGTATTCGAGACTTCCTTACTCGAGCCACATACCCATCTGGACGTATCAGAGGTTAAAGCCTATTTATACTCCCAATGATCGTCGACCCAGAGTTGCTTGCCTGTCTATCTGTCTCAAATTTGGCCTGGCTTAATAATTAAAAGTGATTGCTTTTGTCACATCACGAAATCTTTTCTAGATTAAAAATCTAATCAGAAAAGTAGGCAGGCAAATTATAAGCTTGTTGTAT